TCTTAAACCAGTTTCAGAGGTCCACACAAGGAGACTGCGCAATTTAGAAATAGGTTTAGTTAAATCAGTGCAATTTCTTTTGTGGCCTAGGTCTTAAATGCCTCTACCACGGTTAGCAATCTCTGCCTAGGATTAAATGAGCATGGCCTGCCAACCTGACTCCTTTAGCAGTAAAAATCAAAAAGAAAACTAAGCATATTTTAATTTAGCTATCCTCAAATTTTTTCATAGTGTACATCATATTTGAATACAGTGTTTTATGGATCAGCTTTCCTTCCTAATCAATCATGTAATATCTATGTGATACTTTCCCATGTAAGCAATTGCTGAAGTTAATATTAATAAAGTATTTAACGTATTATTAGTTGACTTTTAATGCCATTTAGCTCTTGGAAATGAGGAGCCAGCATCTGCTTTAGTTGCTTGCTGCCGCTAGACCACACTAAGGCTATGGCTACACTATGCAGCTTTTAGCGACACGGCTGTGCCGCTGCAGCTGGGCCCTGTAGCTGCTGTTTGTCGGCAGGAGAGAACTCTCCTGCCGACAAAAAACTTCCACCCCCCATGAGTGGCAGCGGCTTTCCTGCTGACGAAGCACTGTTCACACCGGCGCTTTTCGTTTATAAAACTTTTGTTGTTTGTGTGTGTGTGTGTGTGTTTAACATCCATGAAGGACAAAAGTTTTGCCGACGAAGTGCCAGTGTAGACATACCCTAAGGCCTGGTCCACACTAACCCCCCACTTCGAACTAAGGTACGCAAATTCAGCTACGTTAATAACGTAGCTGAATTCGAAGTACCTTAGTTCGAACTTACCGCCGGTCCAGACACTGCAGGCAGGCTCCCCCGTCGATGCCGCGTACTCCTCTCGCTGAGCTGGAGTACCGGCGTCGACGGCAAGCACTTCCGGGATCGATCTGGGATCGATTTATTGCTTCTAGACAAGACGCGATAAATCGATCCTAGAAGATCGATCGCTTACATCCGGACCAGGAAGTAAGTATAGACGTACCCTAAGAGGAAGTTGGTGAATCAGTGTCAGGTAAGGAAAAATGTTAATGAGTATGTTTTTAGCAGGTAGTTAATCTTTCTAGAACCCTAACTGGAAGCTACCCCAGAAGGTAATTTTTGTGAAAGTGGGTGTGAACATAGGCATGAAAGTGAGTGTGATTTTTAGATGTATTAGGGACACAGGAATTACCACAGGTCCCAGCTAGTCTAGGAAAATAGAAATTCCTTAGTGGATGATTAAAGACCTGCCCATAAGGGAAGTTTCTTCCTAATCCTCATCAGTTAGTGATTGGCTCAAGCTTTGAACAAAAAGGGTGTATCATCTCTTATATGTTGTAACTGCAACCCTTGTCAACTAAGATTATGCATGTGTACAAACGTCACAGGATAAACTAGCAACTCTCTCCACTCACCGCTAGAACATCTTCACAAATCCCAGTATAGGAACATTTGACTTAACTTTCCATAAGAATGTTAACCGAATTTGTATAGTGAACAGTTTCATAGATTCATAGACTATTCATAGACCTGCATAACACAGGCCATAGAAGTTCTCCCAGTTATTCCAGCATCACACCTATAATTTCTGGTTGAGCTAGAGCAGCATCTCCAAACTGTGAGTCGTGACCTTCAGCTTGTGAGACATGCGTGATGCACAGTGATAGATGGCTGTGCGCACCACCCCTGCCGGCCCCTGCTGCCTTGACATGCTGCATAGTGAGAGGCAGTTGAGTCATCAGCATGCTCATTTTTACTCCTGAGGGAATTCTGCACTAAAAAATGAAATATTCTGCGCACAATATTTTAAAATTCTGCAAAATTCTGCATATTTGTCAAAATAACACAATATAATCACATTTTCAATTATTTGCTGACAAGTATTTTGAAATAAATTACCAAAATAATTGAAAATGGTGTGATTATATTGTTGTTGTGTTTCTGTGTTATTTTGACAATTAAAATATGCGGAATTTTTAATTTTTCGCTGCAGAATTCCCTCAAGAGTATCAGGGTTCTGTGTGGTGCAATCTAGGTGTGCGGGGCGGGGGGGGGGGATCTGGGTGCACAGGGGCGTGGGTCGGGGTTCTGGGTGCAGGGGGAATGGGACTCTGCAAGGGGGGGTGAGGTGATGGTAGTTAGGGCTCAGTGTTGAGGGGAAGTGGGGTTTGGTGGGGTGGAGGGTCAGGGTGCAGCTGTTTGGGACTCAGTGGTGTGGGGTTCTGGGCCCTGATTCGGATGGAGCTTGGTGGGGCGGTGTTCCAGATGTGCAGATGGAGGGAGGGGTCACTGTACATGGAGCTGCTCCCCCTGTCCTCCCAACCCCGTGCATCCGGATCCACCCTGCACCAACCCTCCCCCTTCCCCCGCCCCGCACCTTGAAAAACAAAACAAACCCCACACATGGTGCAGTTTCCTGCAGCCAGGGGATGTTTCTGGAGCTTGATCTGACCCAGACCCAGCTGCTTCATGCAGGGAAGAGGGAGGGGGAACTCTGTCTCTGTCCTCCTCTGCGCTCCCCCCCCACCCCCAGCTGGGACTAACGTCCCTGGGTGGCCAGGGCATCCCCAGCCCCCCCCCCTCCAGTGATTTACCTCTTCCCCTGGCTGCCTGAAGAGATGCATCTGAGCTGTGGGGAGGGGTGAGTGAGCGCTGGTGCAGCTTCTCTTTGCTTCCCCACGTAAACCATTTTCTGCAAGGAAGTCAGGGCTGGCTCCAGGCACCAGCGGAGGAAGCAAGTGCCTGGGGCGGCACATGCTAAGGGGCGGCATTCCGTCCGTTCGTGGGGTGGCACAATCCGACTGGTTTTTTTTTGTTTTGTTGCTTGAGGCGGCCAGAATGGTAGAGCTGGTCCTGAAGGAAGTCAAGAGATTCTGCGGGGGGGGATTTTTCTGCTGCGCTGCAGTTGCGCACAGTTTCCCCAGGAATATCATGCTGCAGCACAATGAGGTGGTGGCGGCTGGCAGGAATGGGACTTGCAGTCGCCATGCTGACCCCATGGGCAAGAGGTGGGGGAGCTGACCTGACCCTGAGGGGGTTGAATTCTCTTGAGACCTGAGCCAAACAAGACACTTGTAGTTGGATCCCATGAGGCTTTGGCTAATATCACCATGAAGTAAAACTGAGCATGGGAAAAGTCAATATAATCTGTGAATGTGGAGTTGACTAGTACGTTTTTGCTATGTAAGTGAAGAAGTTACATTTTCTTGTAGTTGCTTTGTCGTTACATCTCTACTAGTTCCTGAGGAGGAAGGTTTTTTTTTTAAGTCTGACATGGAAAATATTGAATAAGATATCTGAATATGTTGCTTTGGTAGGATGAGAATGAAACTCAGGCAAGGAAATGGGCAGATCCTTATTGTGAAATGTATGTCATGGGATCTTTAATGTAACTACAGACCAGAAAAAAATCTTGTATGAAAAAGCATTCAGGACCTCCATCCTCACAATACAAAAATGCACATATTGTGATACTCCATTTATTTATCTTGAAAGGACTAAAATGACCTTACTGGGTAGCAAGCCAATATTTCAAACATGAGGTGTAACCCATTAAGCCATTCCCTCGAACTAAGCATTAAAATGGTTTAAATTTAAATTTCTTTTATTAAATAGGTAAGAAGGCTAATTTGTGATCATGTAATATTTCATTGAACTTTTTTCCCTCTGAGTTTGAAGTGGCTATAAAACTGTCTCAAGTCTTATGAGATACAGTAAAAATTTCCAGGACCTCAGATACTGTGGAGGTAAAGGTAGCATTATTACGACCGTATGATGGACCTGGGCAGGTCGATGTAGGTACTCCAAAGGAAGCACTTTGGTTTTCTCACCAGCTGGAGTGGAATAATTCGCATCTATTTGCTATAATTGTGCTACTGTGTATTTAAAAAAACCCAACAGCCAGGGCCTGGTAACTTCAAGGGATGTATCAGTGCTCATCTGTTTTCCCAGGCTTTGCTGGGGAGAGGGAAAGTTTGAATAAGGTTTTTAAGGAGAAGGAAGAGAAGAAACTTACATTGGTGGATTTAGGAGGTCTTTCTATGACCCTTCCTGCCTGTTGAATTTATAATGGCTGTATGGTATCTGGAGCCTTGGATAAGCACTTCTGCAAAGTTGAATAAGCATCACAGTTTCAGCCTTCTAATGATTTGTGTTCGCTTTTTCTGGTCTGATGCACTATTTAGAGCTATTATTCTAACACTGAATTAGTTCGGACCCACAGTTTGACCTGTGTTTAAAACTCCTGCAGCTGACAATTTCTTCTCTTTCAAATATCTTGAGAAACGACCATTACTGAGAAATACATGTAACTCTTGGAAAAAATTAGTCATTCTCCTCTGCTGGCTGAAGAGAAACAGTTAAGTCAAAAAGCCTGTGCACAGAAATGTGTGGACAGTGTCATGGAAGTTGGTATACAAAGGACTGTTCTTATTTTAGTTCCACTACAAATGTTTGGTGAGAGATAATTTCCATTTTCAAACTTCTAGGTGGATATTACAAATAATGGGATTAAATTATTTATTTATTGTTTTACTGAAAATAGGTGTCTGAGGCTTGTTTGCAAAGTAGTTTTTCATCTTTGGAACCCTATCTGGGTATTATACATTATTGATCATCCTGATCATCTGTGTGCGTGAGTTCTGAATTTGATTACAATTTGAATGTAAATAAATTGGGCAAACCCATACAAATCCCTAGTAGATTATTGTTAACATTAGAAAACTACCACATAATTTGGCACACTTTAGTCTTGATTTTCCCATGCAGAGAACAGAATGGTCAGGGTGTTACATAGCTGGTGAAGAGTCGGGTGCATTGGGGGTACTCTGTGTACAGGGTAATGTTGACTGTATAAGAGGGTGTCTAGTGAAACTGGAGGTCTGAAAGTTGTTCATATTCTTGGTAGCTCTATTTCTTCTTAATTGTTTCAATTGTTTAATTCTTTTCCTTTGATTTACACTGATTACTTTTTTTTTCTCCCTTTACTTTTAGGCCCTATGAGAGAAAGGGAAAGCTAAGGATGCTGGAGCAGAACAATGGATTTCTCTTTCTCTTTCATGCAAGGGATCATGGGAAACACAATTCAGCAACCACCTCAGCTCATTGACTCAGCCAACATCCGCCAGGAGGATGCCTTTGATGCCAGCAGTGACATCGCTGAAGATGGTGGTCAGACACCATATGAAACTGCCCTGCAGCAAGGCTTTCAGTACCCTACTCCAACGACAGAGGATCTTCCACCGATCACTAATGGCTATCCACCAACAATCAATATGTATGAACCTCAAGCCAAATACCAGACATACAGTCAGTATCCCAATGGTTCAGCCAATGGCTTTGGTGCAGTTAGAAACTTTAGCCCCCCAGAGTATTACCAAATGGAAAACTCTAACGTGAGGCCACATGAAGTTCTGGAAAAACCTTCCCCTCCACAACCCCCACCGCCACCACCTCCTTCAGTACCACAAACGGTGATTCCAAAGAAGACTGGTTCACCAGAAATCAAATTAAAAATAACCAAAACTATCCAGAATGGCAGGGAATTGTTCGAGTCCTCTCTATGTGGGGACCTTTTGAATGAAGTACAGGCAAGTGAGTATGCTAAGATGAAACATGAAGGGAGAAAGGAGAAAAGGAAAAAAAGTAGCAAGCATGACTCTTCCCGATCAGAAGAACGCAAGTCATACAAAATTCCAAAACTAGAACCAGAGGAACAAAATGTAAGTGGAATAACAGTTTCATCTTTTTGTGATTATTAATAGGGAATTCCTTTTTTGCAGCTTTATATTTCTTATTAGTTGTTTATGTACTTAAAAGGCATTGTGAGGCCGTAGTTCACTGTCTGACGCACTATGCAGTGATCAGAATTGTTTAGCAAGTGTCCACTACAGCTCAGCTGCAAAGCTTATGTATCAGAGAGGAATAGTGGAAAGAATTATGAGTAGTATTATTTAGATTGCAGTAGTGCTCAAACTTGGGTGCTTTCCAAACACAGAGGAAGACACAGTCCCTGCCCATAAAGGTGTACTAGCAAAAGATTCATGAATTCTCTTTTTTTCAAAATGTGATTTACTGGGGTTTTGTGGTATTTGAAGTATTCATCGTTAGCATTCATAGAAACTTAGTGGAAATGTTACTTATTTCTAAGAGGCACCTAAAAACATGTTATAACTATCTAAGTATACTGCTTTCTATACAACACTTAAACCACATGCTTTAACTGACAGTTGCCATTGAAATCAATTTTAATAAATACGGTGGATTGTCTGATACTAAATAAGTGAAGAGGTGGCTGTATCTTGTGCACGTACTAGCAAAAATTAGTGTACCAGTGTGGCATGCAAATTAGAAATGTCAGTTGACTGTCAGTCCACACTGATTGAGAGAATTCTGTATCAGTGTCCATAATGCTTTTTGCTAGGTGCAGGAGATGCCAAGATTTCATTTTGCAATAGGTATGTGTACACTGCACAGAAATAATAGTATTGTAAGTTAACCCCTAGTACACTGAGGACAAGTGTGCTGGTTTTCAGTACCTGCAGCCTTTCTCTGCCTCCACGCTCAATAAAATGAGCCTCCCCACGAACACTTGGACTTCTACCTCCACCCTTAAGAGCACACTGTGTGCATGACAACATGACCACTTTCCAGCTAATTTTCCTGCCGGCCATGTGCTGCTGTTGTCCTTTTCTTATTTTTTCCTAGTTTGAGAGTAGCTGTCAGAAGAGAGAAGGTGAGACATGTCAGGAATATGGGAATTGTCAAACTGCAGGGGTTGTTTTTTTTTTTTTTTTTTTTTTTTTTTTTTTTGCACCTTCCTATGAAGCATCTGGTACTGGCAGCTGTTGAAGACAGGATACTATGCTATATGGTCAGTGCTCTGGTCTAGTATGGCAATTTCCATGTCCTTGACATGTCCCCTCCTCTCTTTCCATCATTGTAAGCAGGCTGGTTTGGCCCCATCATATCATGTTCATTTCTGTGTTTTATAATAGTTTTATATAGCTGCAGGTTGCGTAGGATGGGGACTTCTGAAGAAGTGGAGTCAGAGCCAGTCAGGGCCTCTCAGCAGCCAGAAAGCCTTCCTTTTCAATACAGTCCCCCACAAGACTCCAGTCCTCAAGTAACTTCTGTATCTAGTCTAAAGGGCACTGTTTTAACACTTTCTGTTGTGTTTCAGTAGTGCATTTTCAGTTACTGTTTCCTTTCTACAGCAGAAAAGATGGCTTTAGACCCTCGAATGTGGGCTTTTCCCAAAGACAGGTCTCCCATGCAGTGGTTCATAGGCTTAACCATCAACCCAGAGCCTTGAGTGTTACCTTATGTTTGCACTTCTGGCAAATGAGAACTGCAGTAGGTCCATTTTGACTAAATTTAAAAACAGTGTTTAGTCCTGTAAAGTCTTGTGTGTGAAATGTTTTTAGCTGCCAATGTAAACTATATTTCAAAGCTTGTATTTATTTGTCTTTATTTTCTTATTTGTTGTTGATTATATCTTCTGGAGGTTACTTATCAATTAAGGTTTTGAACTTCTGCCAGATTTGATCCATGTAGTTGTCACTAATGAAGCTCAGTATGACTTTAATGAGTGACTAATGCTAGTGTGAACTTGGAACAAGCTGTCTAACAGAATACAGTTACTTGGATTGTTTGTGTGTGTTTCTCTTGCTTTTGGAGATCTGTTGTATTTAAGACAGTTTTGGTGCTGGTGGAAGGTGTCTAGCTGACAAACCATTAGCCAAAAAATAGCATGGGCAGCAGCAGTGCAAGTTCCCCCTACACATCATCCCTTGCCAGTGTGCCTCACACTTGCCCTCCCTGGCCCACGTGAAGGGGAAAAGTTAGTCTTCATGGCAGTTTATTTAATCCTTGGTGCCTTTGCTGAAACTGCCAGTTTGGGTGGTTTCACACAGTTGCTGTACCGGCTCTGCCTCTGAATGCTGCTGTGCCTCAGTTTCCCTTCTTAGATCAAATGCTGCACAACTGTGTTTTAAATGAAATCAAACCACCTTTAATCTGGTTTGTTAATATAATTCAGCAAAGTATTCACCCTTGTATCTGGGCTTCCTTTCTTGCCCTTTCCTTAACATTGACAGTCACCTTCGCATCAGGCCTCAATCAATGTTGTATCCTAGGTTTGCTGTGCTTCCATAGCAGGGCCTCTCTTGAATCTTGCTTCTGTCCCAGTTTTCTTTGTGGGGGAACTTTGTTGATCCAGGCCTGCTGCCTGGCAACCATGAAGAGCATCTTCCCAGGTATCCCCTAGACTGAACCAAAATCTTTGCCTTATATAATCCCACAGGCAGTCCTAGTTCGCAGTCACTTGATCCTCCTTCAGTCATGTGCTCTATCTGGCAGCTAAAATTCACCAAACTCTTGGAGTCTGGTTTTAAAGGCGCTATATCCCTATAATGGGTATATGGGGTTGCACCTGCACTCAACGGATTATTGACCTGCAAGAGGTGGTAACTAGTGTAGTATAGAACTTTGTCTACCAGGAACTGGAATTATTTTAAATTTGTCCCCTTTCTATCTTATGCTTCCCTTTCAAGGGCAGGGCTGGCTCCAGGCACCAGCTTGTCAAGCAGGTGCTTGAGGCGGCCACTTCGAAGAGGGGCGGCGCGTCCAGCTATTCGGCGGCAATTCGGTGAACGGGACCTCCCGTCGAATTGCCGCCGCAGATCACGATCGCGGCTTTTTTTTTTTGCTGCTTGGGACGGCCAAAACCCTGGAGCCGGCCCTGTTCAAGGGACACTGTCAAGCTAAAGTTTTTTAAAAGTTAATACCCGTGTTTCAAATAACACCTCCAAATACTGAAAATTTGAATTAATTTTTAAAAGTTTACTTTTTGCTTTTTATTCAGTATGGGCAGTGAAACAAGAGTGATTTGTAGTCATTTACTTCCTGCTTCTAATGTAGAAATCCATTGCAACCCAAACTCTTCAGGGGAATGTTTACGTTTTAAAATAAAATTAATATGGAATTAAAACTTTATCAAAATGAAAACATTGAACTTTATGGTTTAAGTTTTTTGTTTAAAAACAAAAATTTTGAGTCTAAAGTCAAACAACTGGTTAGAATTTGCTTCTAGGAAATTAAGTGAGAAGTATGTAATCTTTTGTTGGGACTATCTTTTGTGTGACTAGCTCAATTGTTTGGGCAGAAATAATTTGTCAGCTCATTGTAGTAGAAATCACAGGCAGAAGATGTAGGTATATTTGCCATTAACAGGTTGGTGTAGCAAGGAAGAATTTGTAGATTATGGGTATTTATTTGGTTGAGGTTAGACAATCTGTAGAGAATAACACTTGTGTGCCACTTTAAAACTAAGTACCAACATTTCTATATATCTAAAGTAACACATGTTGAGAGCTCTAATTGGCGTGTACTAGACAGTGTGTTTTAAGTGAACATTCTTTAAATGTTTCAGTATGAAGCACACATTTATGATTATCATGGGGCTAATGTGTAATTTCAAGGGAACAGATCTTCATTTTAAGTGGACTAATTATAATCTAGCTGAATGGTACATTAGAGTTTCTGACTGAATGCTTTGTCACGAGCACCCTTCCCACGTATGTCCTCTGCCTTTCCCTTTGAGTGTCTCCATTGACTGCTGCTTTTCCACCATATTAAACACAAGCTTCGGGTCCTTACACTTAGCAGCTAAGTTGTGAAGGGCCTTATCTACTTACCTGTTGTTACATCATGTGCCTTATCGTATCTACTCCTCTGGCAATGCTAGTTCCTATTGAACCTTTATCTCCTTTTCCCACGAGCACATAATACTTTCCTCTATGCTATTCCTTAAGCATGGAATGCCTGTCCTCCTCATATTAACCTGTAAAACCACTACCCTGTTCTCTTTCAGATCCTTCCTACAAACCTGCCTATGCTATAATGTCTAAAGTGAACTGCCAACTAATGTCATTCATGTTTCTTGAGGTTTTTTAAACCAATAAATAACTCTAATACTGCAGTTTATTCATATAACCAATTCACAGTGTGTAACTGTATGTTGCTCTGTTTTCTTTCCTCCCTTCCTTATTTCCTCTGAGTTGTATCTCAGTTTAGATTGTAGGCTCTGTGGGACAATGACTTCTTTATTGTAAATTGTACAGCACCTGGCACAATGAGACCCTGATCTGGTTGGGTGCTGCTATAATGAAAATATATTAAGTAGTGTGGGAGAGATGAGTATTTTAAAACTGAACATAGGTCAGTCATAAGGAGTTCGTCATGTTTTGTGATTTTATGATGGTGTTTTTTTCCTCTCTGCTAATTATTTTCTCCTGCTCCTATTCTCTTTGGTGTGTTCTTCTGTTTTGCCATCCCCCTTATCCTGTTTACTTTTATTTTCCTGTTCTCTCCTTATTGTTACCCTTTTCTTAGAGACCAAATGAGAGGCTTAGTGTGCTATCAGAAAGACCAAGAGAAGATATACTGTTGGAGGAAACCCCGGTTAGTACTTATATAAATTAACAAATCTTGGACTCTTAGTATTATAGAAATTGTCTTGCTGTCTCATTACAGTATGAACGTTGTATAGCTTATTATCAGATAAATCAATCACTGTTATTGGAAATGGCTATATAATTATTATTGTGGCCATTGCTCACCCTAGTTGTATATGATGACAGAATAAAGCAACACCAACATGACATTTGTAATTGGTTTACTAAGTAGAAACTTTCTGTGGGGATATCTCCCCTTTAGAATGTCTTGATTATCAATCATTGCTCATCCTCATTGAACCATGCAATTGGAGTCTGAGTGTCCTCTGTTGTCATGGTTGCATTTGACCATCAGTGCCAGCTGAAAGAAGAAAGAGAGGAACAACTAAATTGATGAAGAAATAATTTTTTTTAAAAAAATCCAAACCAAAACACCTTATGAATCATTGTGCATTAGTGAGTTGTAGTCAATTGTTTTCTTCTGCAGCTGATATGACCGTTATCTTCTTTATAGGTCCAGCAGTTCTCACCTTCTCTTCCAACGCAAGTTACAACAGACATCAAGTTTCAGGTTGGCGATCTAGTCTGGTCCAAGGTGGGAACTTATCCTTGGTGGCCTTGCATGGTTTCAAGTGATCCACAGCTTGAGGTTCATACCAAAATTAATACAAGAGGTAAAGAAGGAGAACCATTGAGCGGACATGTTAGATACTATATCAGTAATTGCTCCTTAATTAAAAATATTGCTATAAAATACAACTGACAACGTATGCCAATTGGGAGAGGGCTCCCAGAGTGAAGTTAGCAATGATGACCAAAAAACTAACTTTATTTAACTCTCTCAATGTGACACAAACAGATCACTTCTGTTGTGGTTCACCTAGTGCAATTAAGAAATGCAGAATTCTCTTGATTTTTGTTTATAAATATATTCAACTGTTCATTTAAAAAAAACCATCAGAGGAAAGTACGCAACTGAGTAAATGATTAATTTTTATTTATCTTTTATTCCTAATATTTGTTTTAGAACAAATATACATGTGCTCATATAAAAACAATAACCGATGAAGATATTTTGGAGAGAATTTAAAGAAAAACAAGTTGGCCACTAAGTGGCATTTTTTTGGGGTAATTGACATCTGGATATTTTGAGAATTAAATTTTGAATGATTAGAAAAAAAAAAAAAAACAAGATTGCCATAGCTACTTCATTGATCTGGCTTAGTTTCCCCTGATCCCATCTGGAAGATCTGGCCCTTATGGACTTCCAAATGGGGATAAGCATTCAGCCTGTTAAATAGGAAAACTTCAGTCGCACATAACATTGCATGATTCTTAGGTTAGCAATATGAATAAACAAATGCATGTATGCCCTCAGACCGTGTGTGTTTACTTAGTTTAGAGAGAGATTCTGCCACTTGAACTCTTGTTGAGTTAGTATCCTTACAAGTAGTTCTACTGATATCAGTGATACTGCTCAGTGTGAGGACCAGGTGCTGCCACCCTTAGACTGTAATCTGAAGGCAGGGACAACGCCTCTTTACTTTCTAAAGTGTTCTGCAAAGTTGTTACAATACATAAATTTGCAACTTCAATTTCTCATAGAAAGTTAGTTTTGTTGAATGTTTCTATTTAACAGAGATGAGTTCCAAGCAAATTCAAAAACTAGATGGCTAGGATGTCAGAGTAGGCCCCCCACAAATTGACTTAGTAGCCCTTGTTTAGCTTCTAGTCTAACTGCATAATCTTATTTAGGCACTTTTATAAAACCATATCCGATGTATAAGAAATGGAGCTGCATTTTACTTTCTAGCTTCTATAGAGCTAAGGAGAACTTTTGTCTGCAAGAATTGAATGAGTGGAGTGGAGTAAGAATGTTAGGCTAATATATCCAAGTAAACATATGAACTGACTTCTGTTGATAGTACTGCTTACTAGAGTGTGTTTTAATTTCAGGTGCCCGTGAATACCATGTTCAGTTTTTTAGCAACCAGCCTGAGAGGGCATGGGTGCATGAGAAGCGGGTTCGAGAGTATAAAGGACATAAACAGTATGAACAATTATTGGCAGAAGCTACTAAGCAAGCCAGCAATCACTCTGAGAAACAGAAGGTATGTTCAGCACTAAATTCAGAATACGTTATCCACAATGTCTATCGAAGTAAAACCTAAACTTACAAAGGGGACCCATCCTGAAACCTATTGTAGACTGGTGCATATTCGAATGTTGGAAAAATAAAGTACTGTGTGCATTCCACCTGTGACTAAGTAATCATTCTTTACAAAGATAGTTAAATGTTTCCACATGTCCTTTTGTCCTCCTTATGGATAAGCTGTTATCTGAGCTTATTTTATCCCCTTTCTCTCAATAACTTTCGTGGCTGTAGTGCTTTTCTGGACACTTAGTGTGTGTGTGTGCGTGTGTAACTTCAGAATAAATATTAGATCACTAATTTTCAGTGTTTCCGTTATTAATATATTCCTTAGAAAGCAGTGCACATTTTAAATAGCAATGTTTATGTTCTCATCAGTATCCCATACATTTCTGATGTTATGTAGATTCTGCTTATTAGCAGTCCCTCAGTTGCCAGCAAAAAGTTGCTATTATCTGATAATTGCTAATAAGTGGAAGGCAGGTTTGCAAGGCAGCAGCCAGGGAAGGAAATGCTGGGAGGTGACTTCCCTGACTGCACCCGGCAAACCTGCCTGCAGGGAGAATAGCCGCAGTGAAAGGGGCTGCAGCCCTGATGCTGGAGCTTTCTGCAGAGAGTGGGGGTGTTGGGGCCCAGGAAGCTGCACAGTACCTCTTCCTGTGTTCTTCCCTGGGTTGGGTCTTAGAACGTACCAGCGCGGCCCCCTGGCAGGGATCCTGGAGAAGGCAGGGAGAGGTACCGTGCAGCTCCGGCATCTGGGCTGCAGCCCCCTCCCTGCTATTGCCATGCCCACAGCCTCTCCTCTCTGTCTGCTGCCCCTTCCTATGTGGTCCCTGTGTGCATTCAGTTTTGCTGGGCTGCAGCCCCAGAAGGAAACACTGGGACATGCTGAGCACTGGCTGCAGGCAGGTTTGTGAGACTGCAGCCAGAGGAGGCATGTACTAGCACTTCCTCTCCCGGCTGCAGCCTCACAAATGTGCCAGCAGAGGGTGCTCCGCACATCCCAGCGTTTCCTTGTAGAGGTGTAGCCTTACAAACAGGCCTGCAGATGGTTCCTTTCTTCCAAAATTTTTTGCTAATAAGCGGCATGTTGTTGCTAATATCCAAATCCTATCAACATTGATGTTAATGAGATGGGATTTGGTTCCCAGCCATATGTTGCCATTAACTGGAAGTTGCCAGTACCAGAATTGCCCTTAAGCAAAATCTACTGTATTTGTTTAATCGAGAAGGGAACTGTTGGCCAGACCACCAGACTTATCACTGTATTTTGGTGGGCTTCTTAAGTAGATATTTAAGTTAATTAAAAGTAGTAATGAACAGGGAATGGGAGGTTTAGAGGAAGAAACAGGATTAAAATAAGTGGGTGAATTGGATTATTTTCTGGTTCACGTATCTACAGAATTGTGGATTAAACTTTGCCTTCCGTTGTCTTTAGTGGGGTTACTCAGAGCAGAATCTAATTCACAACTTTCATTGGTGATGGTGAAGTATGGCCTGTTAAGAATCCAGTTTGACTGTCAATTCCAGTGAGAGTTTGCAGGCCTGGTGGTGGTCCCCAGAAATATCTTGTAAACTGAAAAAACAGTCACCTTCAATCTGAGATAAATCAGGTACTTTGGAATGGCTTACATAGGGTCATTTTGAAGAGCAGGACCACATTTTAAACTAGTTTATTTTAATTGAACGTTTATTTTAATGGAGCCAGGAAGCTAAATAAATAAATGTAATAGAGTTCTCTTTTTGTCTTTGTTTTAAAGATTCGTAAGCCAAGGCCACAAAGAGAGCGTGCTCAGTGGGATATTGGTATTGCCCATGCCGAGAAAGCATTGAAAATGACTCGGGAAGAAAGGATAGAACAGTATACCTTCATTTATATAGACAAGGAGCCAGAGGAGGCTTTGTCCAAAGCCAAAAAGACTGCTGCCCCTAAATCAGAGGCTAAAAAGAACCGTCGGCCTAAGCCAGCATTGAACGCTCAGCCAGAACAGACCAATGTGGTATCGGCATCCCCCTCATTATCAAATACTGAGGTGCGAAGGCAAAGTCAAAGGAGGCAGTCAAGTGTGGAAGAAGAGGAGCCACCGCCTGTGAAAATAGCCTGGAAAACAGCTGCAGCCAGAAAATCCTTACCAGCTTCAATAACCATGCATAAAGGGAGTTTGGATCTTCAGAAATGTAACATGTCTCCAGTTGTTAAAATTGAACAAGTTTTTGCCCTACAGAATGCTGCTGGGGATGGAAAATTCATCGATCAGTTTGTTTACTCTACCAAGGTACACACTTATTTGTTACCAACTCCTTTGTCTGTAAATAACACACACCCACGATATTTAGTATGGGGCTCAAACTTAAGTGTCCACCAACTTTCAAAATGTGATGGTCCATGCAAGTGCTTTTATTGGATACTACATTAAATCTGTCAGGCCCTGCTTTCTATCAGCAGCCCCTATAAATAGAAACCTCTTAAAACTTTACTAGCTACAAGGGCTAGTACAACCAACAGTCTGTGTTTTTTGTTTTTTTAAGAAAGGGGGGATGGAGGGTTACTCTTTGGTTTTAGTGACAGACGTTTCTACAAAACCATCAAGCTATTGCTGAGAACTTTTGAAATCAATAGCTACAACAAGCCACTTGTTTAATTCTAGTGTCCCACTTTAAATCAGAATTGAGCTGCTCAGCCCTTCTGGGTTAAATTGGATCTACAACTTTGGCACCTGTTTGCAACAGGTGAGATTACAAGATGGTGCGTAAATAGTGAGTTAAAAGCAAAAAAATAAATAATCCTGTGTGGTAAAGACATTTTTAAAAATAGCTTTTACCTTTTTAGTCTCATGCAGATTATCAGCAACCCCTCAGTCAGTGTAAGTAGCAGTACTGGGGCTAATTGGCTGCCTTACTCTTTTTTGCCCTGTCTTCCTTGAGGACATTTATGTACTTTTAAATTTATATAATGGAGCCCTTATACATTAGGAATACCTACAACAACAACAAACCCACTAGTGCTGTTTAGTGAGAGACTGGTGCATGTAGTATATTTATGTGAGGGGGAAAAATTGGAGACTGTCTTTGGCAGTTTCCTTCACTGTTTCTAAATTGCTGTCCCTCATGGTAATGCTCAACATTGTGGCTTGCATTGTTGAATTCCAAGTTGTAAATGATTTCCTAATAGACTTTGTGGTTATTGAATTAATTTGCATGGTAGTCTGATCAGGTAATCACTAACTTTATTCGTGTTCTTTAAAAGGGAGTTGGTAACAAAACTGAAATAAGTGTCAAGGGACAAGACAAGCTTATTTCTACATCAAACCAGAAAAATGAGAGAGCCACTGCGCAAAATGCATCCTCACCTGAAACAACTTCTGGGTCAACAGGTAGGCAAAGGTTGGGACTCCTTGACTAAATCTTAACAAATGAGCATTTAAACAGGCTGCAAAAGTCAGAGTTCCCTCACGAATTAGAAAATCATTATAAACATATTTCTCTTTACATAATTATTGCAGCGAGTGTGGCACATGTAATCCACAATGGGTGCAGTTACTTGGAGGGGTGATCTTTATGGCTGTAAGAATTTAAGTGATGGGTGAACTGCCCTTAGGTAAGCCAGTTAGAATCTTGGACTTGAGGGAAGGATGCTTGGCCAGTCTGAAACAAATCAGTGTATCTATAAGATGGCTATGATGGAGAAAAGATAGGGAACAATGGGTAATGTAATAGTTCACTGAGTTGGGAGGCAGTAAAATGGTTCTGTGGTAGCAAACCATTACAATGGCTTTTGGTATCAAATTTCAAAAGTAGCAATTAGGACCAAAGCAAATGAGACCAAAATCAGCATAGTCTTGTAGTTAGAGCCAGGCTTTATGAATCAGGAGTAAATTCTATTCCCAACTTTACTGTTTTCTTGTGTGACCTTGTACAAGATAATTAATGTCTCAGTGCTTCAATTAATCCCCTCGGTAAAATGGGATAATGCTTACCTTTCTGAAGCACTTTGAGCACTATCTTATTAGGCACTGTGTACGTGTAAAGTATTGTGTCTTTAAGAGAGAAGAGTGTGAAGCAATCAAGAGTATCTAGGCTTAGAATAGGAAAGAGAAGGACTAAGGCAAATTCTCTAAAGAAACTGAACTTAATAACATGCAGGGAGAGAAGAGTGAGAATTTAAATTGAATGAGTAACTTTTACCTTAGAGAAGAAAAGCAATGATTATTGATGTTATGGGTTTGGCTCTTCTTTCAGTGGGGATAGGCTAATCCCAGCAGAAAGTCTCTGGGAGCAAATTGATAAGACATACTCTAGAAAGAGGTAGGGTGGAAGATGATGGGGGAGAGAAACAACTTCAGTCATTCTAAACTGAACTCCATTTTTAAGTCCTTCCTCCTATTGTAGTGGTTTTAGTATTTCAGCCAAACGGTCTTTATCTTCGATGTGGAAAACACATCGGAGATATTATGTGTTTGGACATATGTTTGTAATCATATTATAGATATTGTAGACTGTGGAGAACACCTAGTTTAATAATGAATATGTAAAAAGTAAGTTTGGGGTGGGATCAGAGTGCATTCATTTTAATACTCAACAGCAGGATGAACAGTTGTCTTCAGTCTGGAACCAGAAAAGGGGGGTATTTGATTCAGCTTAGGTGCCATAAAACTGACCACTCTTTCTAATAGATTTTTTTTATCTTGTAACATTATTCAATGTCACCCTCGCTTTAGTTACGTAGCTGTGCAAAGGACCTGGTCCTAGTGTAGTTAGCTCTTTTTTTCAAAACAAAAAAATTAAGCTAAAGACATCAAAACAAAAAAAACCTCACACCATTCTGCATATATTGGAACACTCTCCCCAGCCCACACAGTTCAGCTCCTCGGCATATATAATTCTTGTTATGTAGTGTTACTTTAAATCTGCTATCCCCTGGGTTTTCACAGCAGACTGTGCCTGAGGACTTTCAAATGCAAGATGAGCACTTTGGATTTTTTTGACCCTGGTGTGAGCAAGATGGGGTTTCATCTGCTGTTGACGACAGAGTCATTGTCTCTCCAGCTTATAATTGCTATGATTCTGGCAGCTTTTTCCAAACTGTTGCTACTTTGTTAATTGCCCAACAACAGAGGAGGTGCTCTCTGTTTTGTTTCCCTCCCCTGGAAACGAAGGGCATCACCTCCACAATTCGCAGTGGCTCTTAGGGCATAGGGAGGGTGAGAATTCTGAGCCTCTTTTTTTTCGTTTTCTCAGGTTTTTTGGATACGTAAAACATCACCTGATAACACCCCATACAGTGCATGAGCATTACTTCAGTATACACTCCAAACAGTCACTTTCAAAGCCATTTCCAAAGTCCAGACAATTATTGGTCCCCTCTCATGGAACATAACTGGAAGTCCTTTTTTCAAATTTAAGGTCACCGGAACTTCAGAATACCTTTACGGTAAAGTATTTTACAGAATGACTCTGGGAGCCCTGATGGATAAGCCACAGTGAGATGTGCAGAATTCCATAATACTGGGGAAAATCTATTTCTGTAACCTGGAATCTGATAAGAGAACTACCTTGAGAATTCTGTTTAAAGGGGAGACTGGAGGTATAAATGGAAACAAAACTGACCCAATGACTTGGTAGCTAGTGAGGTGCACTGCTGGTTATAAACCAGCCTGAACCTAGCTCTTGTTCATAAATTGCACAGAAGTGGGATAAGAGTATTGTGGAGGTGATGCACTGAACCTTTGGGGAATGGGGAACAAGGAGTGCATATTGCACTACTTGAGCATACCACTAGCATCCAATACGAAGTGGCATTGGTCTCCAACGGCACTATCTTCTCTGATACAGGTCTTCCATCACAACATAACTCCTTCTGCTGTGTTGAGCATAGAGAAGAAAGAAGAAAACTGATTAGTTGAACTTTCCTAGTCAGACTTGTCCAAAATTAGTGAACCCTTTCCATGGATAGTACAAGGCATGCCTGCTGAACATAGAGGTGACACAGGAGGGGCTGCAGATCAGGTGCCTTGGGCCAATCAGAGCAACTTTAATACACAGTAAAATTTGAGGTATACTCTTGCCTTCTAAATCCCAATATGGGAACATTCTCTAGGACCCAAAAGTTAAATTACTCCAAACCTGAGGGGCACTAAGATTCTCCACCAAAATATGTAACGTTCTAAAATGTGTCCCTTTAAAAATAAAATCTTTAAAACCATTTGTATTTGCCATTTGTTCCTATCAACTTCCATTGCACCAATTTAAATGCACAATTTTCTAAATAACGAGAAAGCAAGATTAGCAATAGATAATCCTGAGTAATTGCACATCACATGAAACCTCACTAAATAAATATTAATCTAAGTGCATAAGGGAAAGGTGAAGTTCCATGCTTCTAGAGTCCTCTGGAACAATTTCCAGCCTTTGGTTACAGCCTACCTCTTTCTAGATATATACCATAATATCAATGGAAGCAACACACACTTATGGCCTCCAACATGAATCCTCTTAACAGAATACAAAAAATTCCAGATCGGCATTTTTTATTCTTCTAAATAATAATCATTTTTAAAAATTAAAAAAATATATTTAATTTCTGTCCTGTTAGGTCGAAAACACCTGATGCTGAAGAACAAGACTGTAACTCATGCTAAAATAGAATTTTTGAACTTTGGACTTTTCTGTCAGTCTTACACCTTTAATTGTGTGCTTTGTTTCAAGAATTGCACATTGCACAAATTCTGTGCAGATGTTCCTCAATAGGAGCAGTGTTGTAACACAGAATATTCCTTTGCCCTTGCCATTTTTTTTTTTAAAAGTAGCCTGTGTTCTGGTGTCTTCAAGTATCCTAATCACCCTTATTAATCTGAGCTTGCTTTCCAGGGCATAAATTTAAGAAACATATTCTTTAGTTTTTGTCTGCTAGAATAGCGTCCTGTCCATTGACCACCATTTGTTTTCAATTTTTTTCTCAGCATCCTGAAATCTATCTAAAGTTGTCAATTTTTTTATTTATTGCAATTATGGTAGCTTAGCTTTTGACTAAACTTGTACTAATATCTAGAGTTCTGATATTTGATAAATCAGTTTATCCACCTGGCCATAAAGTCAAAGGCCCCGAGAACCATGTTTTGGAGAGTGAAAGTTTGGAATCTAAGTTCTGAATCTGTGCAATACCAAGACATTTTAGGTAATGAGGTTTTCAGAGTTATGGATACCTTCCAAAAAAAGCGAAAGGCAAACTAGTTAATTAGAAAACGATCAGACCGGAGGCTCTGAAAGTAACATGCCATGACAAATTGTCACCCTATTCCAAACGTGGATTCCAGCCTTTCCCTTCACCCTTTTATTGGTGTCTTTTCTGAACCCAGGCCTCTCTCCATTAGATGTATTGTCTGCGATCAGGGCTCCAGCTGGCAAAAAAAACCTTTGAACTGACTGTTTTTAAAAAGTCTGTTAAATATCAAAAAAGCAAAAAAAGTTTTGCTTTCATTACTACAGCCATTGACTTGGTACTGAACATATCAGACTAAGCTGAAATAGAAGGAATCATGTAATAGAATCCTTTCCTTCCTCAGGTTCTGTAGAAAAGAAGCAACAGAGAAGATCGATTCGAACCCGCTCAGAGTCTGAGAAATCCACTGAAGTTGTGCCAAAGAAGAAGATCAAAAAGGAGCAGGTTGGCTTCCTCCATGTAGAGAGTTAAAATATATTTTGTATTCATAAATGTTGTGGCTTATATTGGTGCCTTTTTATTTTTCTCCATTTTGCCCATCGAGTTTCCTTTTTGGACTATCCTTCATGAAATCCCCCTGTCAGTACCATTATTGCTGTGACTCTGCTACTGGCATCTTCACAGTATCAGTTCAGGCTTTGGATAATGGGAACTCAATGATGCAAGACTCCTAATGAACCTGATATGTTAACTTTGAGATTTCTGTTGTGAGCAAAATGATTTTATGTTTTAATAATATCTATTTGATGGAATTGCCACCAGGTTCCTTCCTCTTCTTACTCTTGGTTTAGCTGCTGGTTTGTATTGAGGTTTTGTTTTTCAAAGTTTCTGATTTATTTGATCACTTTTGAAAATGGACTATTAAGAATGATCTATTTTAAAGATGAATAATCTGACTTTTATGTTGGCAGACATAAACAAAAAAACAGATCTTAGATTTTTTTTTTCTCCCCCTTAAGTAGAACTAACATGTACAGGGGCACTCTTTTAATCTGAATGCCAGACAGACAAATGTTGTTGCTTTATTTAAAAAAAAAGTTCTGAGTGGAGATGAGTAGGCAAGTTGAGCAGGTGACATACTTAAATATTTAACTCAATACACTTATTTAACAAGTTCGTCAGAGTTGTTGGTTCTTTTCCTTACTATCAAATTTTCCCTATTTAAACCCTAAGGGCACCCACCCTTGAAACCTGAGACTTTTGTATAACAAATGTTTAATATCGGTTTTTCCAATGGGCTTTTTTAAAAAGGGACACAGGTTAAAGTGTTTTTTTTTTTTAATTCATTAGAGTAAAATGGATATTTTAAAAAACCCTAATTTATTCTTTGCCCGTTACACTTTATTTTATTTTATTGCACTTCAATCAGCTTAAAGGATGAAAATAGGCCTTGTCTAGTTTATTTTTTTTAAGTTTCATATTTTGGTTCTGATGCACTAGTATGGCACTTCGGTTGCCAAAGCGACAGAAGAAATTTTAACTCTAAAAAATTTTGTCACTGAAACTTTTTTTTTTAAAAGGCAACCTAAATGTTGGATGTAAAATAGCTGACACATAGGCCCTTTAACTTCTTGATGTGAGAAGCTGTGATTTCCCTATTTTTAAATAAATCCTTTTGCATTTACAAATTCTCCTTAATTTAACAAAGGTATAAGAACCAACAATAGGAACATTGTGGTTCCAGGTTAGCTTTGCTTGCTTATACTATGTAGCTAACTAAGGCAACATAGTACATTAAATTGCTTTTCTCAGGCAAAGTATGTGACTAAAACGTAATAAAATAATCAAAGATGCACTGTAATGCACAGAACTTTGAATGTATTAAATTATATTCAAAATAAGTCTTACTAACTTCTTACAATTATGCAACAATATTTGTTACCCAAAGTCAAGTTTTCTTGCGACTGATTCCCAAATTCAATCTGCGACCGCTTGGTTTAAATTTATAACTGGAATGAATACAAATGGGAAAAACAAAATGTTAATGCTACTGTTACAGTGAGAAATAGAGAAATACAAGTGATTGTTTAGATTTTATATTTGTATTACGAACTGTATCCTATATAAATCCTTCTATTGTATGTTTTTACCTATTGTACAACAAAATAAAATATTTTTTAAAAAAAATTAGATTAATCCTTAAATATTTACTAAATGTGTTTCTATATGCTTTGTTAACCACATTGCAAAGAAATAAAAGCCTGCAATTCTTAGCCTAAAACCAGGACCTTAGGAAACAACTTTCTTCCTTTAATTATGCTTTTTATCACCAAATTCTCACATGTATTACATGTATATTGGCAGAAAAATTTCTAATTTCATCCTTCTGATGTAGGACCAAGAACATGACGTGCTTTTGGAAGATCACAAACTTGTCTACTTAAGTTTGTACTGACATGAGTTTCCAGCTGTATAGAGCTCTGCAATGCTCTATATGGAGTCCTCATCCCCACCTTTATGGGCCTTGCAGCACTCTATACAGAGAGAGAAGGTCCATATCCCCAGAAGCTCAAGAGTGCATGCTTGATGGAAGTGCCTTAAAACGGCAATACATTAAGTGTCTCACTAACCTGAGTGTCAGACCTGTATAAGTACAAGTTTACCTTAACAGGTGTGGGGTTTTACAACAGCATCAGGATTGGCTACAGGAATGAACACCTCTCCTGCCTGCTGGACATGGATAAAGTTTTCCTGTTGTCTTCAAGTACAAAGGGAGTGATTGGAAAAGAACCTTGCTATTGAACATATGGCTGCCTTATCACCTGGTATTCAGCCTAGGCAGCTAGGATTAAATCCCAGCAGGACAGAAGGCTTACACTGAGAAGGCGACTGCCAGACTACATCTGAGTTCAGATATGCTAATCACTTAAACTTGGATGTTTTTTCTTTTTTATACTAGGGGAAAAAATTCCTCTGTTAACTATAGATTTTCCTGTCCAAACAGGTAGAAATGGTTCCACAGACAGCAGTGAAGACTGGATTACAGAAAGGTGAGTTTGGCTGAATAACAACAAACGTTCATTATAAGTACCCCATTTACAGGCCATTCATTATATTTCACTGATGGCTTTCAGTCTGTGTGAACTGCAAGTAATTCCCAGATGTATGTTAGTGACTCCATTGTATTGATCTAGCTTTGTTCCTCTGAGTTATAGCCTTCTTTTTGTAATAATAGTTGGGAGAATAGAGTGTATGCTTGGTCTGCTTTAATGTTTTCACTGCATGATTCTTATAAAAATATATATGAGGGTGTCTGAACATAGGCATATTTATAAGATAAGTGATGTGGTGTTACCTGTTGGGGTTTATCCCTACCTAAAGCCTTGGCTACACTTGCGAGTTACAGCACAATAAAGGAGCCCCGGGTGCCCTAGCTCATTCCCTGTCCACACTGGCAAGGCACGTAGAGAGCTCTGACTCCGCAGCTACAGCACTGCTGGTTCTCCACCTCGGTGAGTGGAATAACGTTTGCTGCGCCCCCGCTGGAGTGCCGCGGCGCCAGTGTGAACGAGGTGTTGCGTTACTGCGCTCTGATCAGCCTCCAGAAACGTCCCATAATCCGCTTAAGTCAAGTGGCCACTCTTGTCATTGTTGTGAAATCGGCTGCAGGAACGCGGAAATGCCCTTTCAAAGCTCCGTTTTGGAGAAGCTGGCTGCTTATCAGCTCCGAGAAAAAGCTGTTTGCTTTGAGTGAGTGAGAGAGAGAGGCGGGGGGAGGGGGATCTGAACTTGCAAGACAGCATGCTGACACACTCTCAGCATCCCAAAAACCCACTCTCTCTCCCCCCACATACACACAATACACTCCCTGTCACACTCCACCGCACCCCACCTCCACCCCATTTGAAAAGCATGTTGCAGTCACTTGCATGCTGGGATAGCTGCCCATAATGCACCGCTCCCAATGCCGCTGCAAGTGCTGCAAATGTGGCCAAGCCAGTGTGCTTGAAGCTGTCAATGTGGACAGACTGCAGTGCTTTCCCTACTGCGCTCTACGAAGGTGGGTTTAACTCACACCGCTCTACATCTGCAAATGTAGCCATGCCCTAAATGGTGATAGTTCAGTAGGTTGTGCCAATACATGAGCTATCCAGCAGTTTGACAAAAGGTTTTGTTTTGTTTAATGGCATTTGAATGCTATTGGCTGAATTACTTTTTACCCTGGAGCACTGAAATGTTTAGTGGCAAAGTTCTGAACTTAAAATTCTTAGAGTAAGTGAGATGCTTGTAAAGTCCTGCCTTGTGGCTTCATTTTTCATGTCTCTGTCATTTTTCTCCATGTGATTTAAAAAGAAAATGAAAACAATATTTTAGGATTAATGTCAGTGTCTTGTGTTAAGGTGCCAGCGAGATTTCAGATTCTTGTAAACCTCTAAAGAAAAGGAGTCGTGCCTCAACTGATGTAGAACTGACTAGTTCAGCATACAGAGACACATCTGACTCTGATTCAAGAGGACTTAATGATCTGCAGGTAAATGTGTGGTATTTGCGCACATTTATACGTTTCAGTATGTTTGACAGAAAAGTGGCATTATTGATGGCTGCAGTTTTGAATAAAGAGGAACTCAATAGTCAAATTCAAATAACTGAATTGTTTTGCTCTTTTAAAAGTCTGATAGAATGTTATGGCAATGGTGAGAAAAATATTTCGGTTGTGGGGGACATAGGCATCTTGGTGTATATTTTCCCATGCTGGTCCAGTGCTGAAAAAGGATCTCTATTAAATGGGCAGTAAATTGTTTGTCACTATATATTGAGGTCCACAAGCTTTCAGATAACTTTCAAATGGTCTTTTAATGTATATTAACTGTATTTTTCTTTTAATCAGTGCTGTCTTAATATTTTTCCATGCCATAGTTAGCCTTTTAAAGTCGCTTATTTAAAAATGGTTGTGGATTGATTTCTTTATAGGGTAGCTTTGGAAAACATTCAGACAGCCCATCAGCTACTGCAGATGCTGATGCTTCTGATGTACAATCAGTAGACTCTAGCTTATCAAGAAGAGGCACAGGAACAAATAAGAAGGATACTGTTTGTCAGGTAGGTGGAAAGAGCATGGTATTATTATAGACAAATATATGCTAAAGATGTGCTGTCTGCTTCTGATTTTAATCTGGAAACTCTTTTTAAATTATGCTATTGTATTTTGACCAAATCTCATAATTTGACATTGAACATCCTGAAAAATGATGGAATGACCCAGGCCTTGTAGGTTTAATGCTCCAGAGGTGATCTAAGAGAAGCCTGAAAGCACCACAAAATAACCTTGCTAAGCTGATGCAAAAAGGATGGGTGCACCTTGTTAGAGGGAACACATTCAGTGACTGCTGAAGGCTTCCAGTGGCCTTACTGTTGCTAGTTATGGCAGTGGCTTCAGCCAACTCTCCTGCCTTGTTCAGAAACCAGGAAGCTGTAGTGTCATAGTATGAAGAGATTTTCAACTGGTTAATTTCCCTTGCTTTGGTTCTGTTAGTCACTTGAATTTAAACATCCGTCAGCAGCTTCGTTCTCTGACTAGCTGTTTGCTTGTTTAAGATCTGTGAAAGCTCTGGTGAGTCTCTGGTGTCATGCGAAGCAGAGTGCTGTAGAGTCTTCCATATGGAATGCCTGGGACTGAAATCAATACCTGATGGGAAGTTCATCTGCATGGAGTGTAAAAATGGTAAATGCATTACTGTGTTTGAGTGATGGGGAAAAATCTTGGTTTAGGAGCCTGATGGATTACAGTGATTGGAAGAAGCTTCAGTAATCATATGCTGGGCTGAACAAACTGAGGCAGAGATGTTCTATAGTAAATAAAGTTCAGTGCTAAGTTCCTTCCCTCTCCACTTAGCAAGTACTTTTAAAATGAAAATTAGTAATTCAGTGATAGGGCTATGTCTTCCTGTTTGTTCATCCTGCACCCAGCACAATGGGGTTCTCGTCCTGATCAGGGCCTTAATAAATGTGCAGTAGTAATAATCTGTTATTTTATAGTGAGGGGGGGATATTCTGCTTACACTGGTGGAATTACATTAACTTCAGAGTTTTTCCTCCTCTGCCAAATTTTTCTCTCCGGAAATAACTGATAGCGTTCATGCTGAGGTTTGTTTTATTCCTTTTCTTAAAAGGACAGCACACATGCTTTTCCTGCAAGCTTCCTGGTAAAGATGTGAAGCGCTGTTCAGTCAATGCTTGTGGTAAATTTTATCATGAAGCCTGTGTTCGTAAGTTTGCCACTGCAGTCTTCGAGTCACGAGGATTCCGTTGCCCGCAGCATTGCTGTACTGCCTGCTCAATGGATAAGGATATCCACAAAGCAAGTAAAGGTGAGAGCACAACTGGATTTGGATAGTAGCAGGAAACTGTAAAATACCTGACATTGAGACATGTAGCAGAAAATGAAGATGATTGTGATACTTTACACTCATAATGTGATACAGTATGGAAGGATGGGACATAAATTTATTATGAATGGATTCATTATCAGTTTGATCATTAATACAGAGGGTTCGCTGTGAAACAGGTCAGTCTTGTTGGGGTAATGTGAAACAGCCAGCATCGTGAGAAGTAAGAACACCTGGAATAGCTTCTGTGTCATTTGGACTTATTTGGCTGTTGGATTTCTGGAGTTTGCTGTAAGTTAAAGGTCAGATGTACAAAGCTGAAGTACTCTTTTAGACAGATAGCAATGGACTGTAGAACAGAAGTTCTGTTCCAAAGAGGTCCTTTCCTTTAGAAGTGAACTAAAATGGTCAAGCAAACCAAGCAGTTTTAGAGTAGTTAGAGCCAAACGGGTCTTGTCTTCACTTGGAAGCTCTGCATCCAACATTAGAGTTAACAGAGTGAAACAGCATGTTGCTTTTTTGAAGACGTTAATGTCTAATACCCTGGTTAGACTAAAACCAAACTTGTATCGCAGTCTGTGATGTCTTCTGCCCTATCCTAATTCCACTGTGACATGGTGCATTTTTCTGCATTTATATTAAACAGGACGCATGGTGAGATGTTTGAGATGTCCAGTTGCCTATCACTCAGGAGATGGCTGTATTGCTGCAGGAAGCTTGTTTGTGTCATCTCACATTCTCATCTGTAGCAACCATTCCAAAAGGAATCACTCTTCATCAGCTGTAAATGTAGGCTTTTGTTTCGTTTGTGCAAGAGGTGAGCACTACTTTTTTCCCCCCTTCAGTTTATATGTCTGGTGTGGTCATTATTACAGTTACATGATAAACCTGGGATATTTTACACAATTATTTTTTTTCTCTTGGGGCTCTCCATTGGCTTCAAAGCTTTCTCTTTGACTGCTGGGATAGTACACATGATATTCATTTATTTCTCCTGCTAGAGTTTTTTAATACAATTTTGTTCGGTGTTCAGACACAATTTTGAAGCACTGAGAAGGCATACTGTGCTGCCAGTTGAGAAGAAAGTGGATGTTGAGTCCCCAGTTCCAGCAGTTTAAAGTTAAATCAGTAAACATTGATTCTCTGTCACTTCAGCAAGAGGAGTTGCTGTCACCCTCTATAAATTGAAAATAATGGAGCATCTTTTAGGTGGGTGGATGGGGTTTGCTCATAAGCTAGAAAATGCCTGTTTTGACATCCCACTCCCATTTGAGAATTTTTTTTTTTTTTTTTTTTTGAAAACTATTACAGGAATTACCACCTAAATCAGTTAAAATCTAATTACAGTAAAAATATAGTTTTCCATATGCTGCAGCTATTATTTTTCCCTGCCTTTATTTATTTATTTATTTATTTATTTATTGGGAAGCCCCAGAAGTTTGTCGGTCACTTTATTTATTTTAACTTCTGCCAGAAGGTAGGACTAAATATTGCAGTGCTTTATTTTACTTTGGTCAAAAAGCCCAGTGCAAAAATATCTCTACTATGTTCTTTTTGGGGTGTGAAATTTAGATGCATAGAGTTTTGTGTGTAATTTTGTGTGTGTGTAAAAAATATGTAAAAACGTCATATGTAATACTTCAAAAAGTTCACACTGAATGCATCATGTCTTTCAACAGTTTGACAGTCAATAGCAAAGGAGTGTAAATACATGGTGAATCCTGAATCCGCTTGATTGTATTCAGCTTATGCAATTAGAGGCCTAGTTTGTGTGGTAAAGATGGTTTTGTATGAGCAAGAGCAGATTACTAGATACAGGATCTAGAGAAAAGGAAAGAAAGAGGGGTCTCAGAGTTGGATTTTTTCCCTGGTTCTAATTACAGTACAGGAAATGGAGCTGTCACAGAGGTTCCAAGGTAAAACAAAGTTCTTTCCTTTTTAAATACATCTAATTTTTTCCAGAGAAATGGCGTCCGGAGGTTCAGAGGGAAACAGTAAGTCTTAGACTGCTGAGCCTGGGAGGGGCTCTCGAAGTGTGTGAAACAGTGTTTGCAACGTGGTTCAGTGCTTTTCCTTTAAGGAGCCTGTTTCAGTGCTTTGGGGCATTTCTAAAAGGAAATATGCAAAGTGAATCACGCTGGTGTTGCGTAACCATACACACATGCAGACAAACTTATGGATGTTGCATGTATCTTTATTCTTTTATTGCTGAGTTGTAGATATCTGTATAGGTGTTTTGTCCTACTTTAAGTTTTGTTTTGATTCTGACTTCATTATCATGTGTACAAGTGCACAATCTAAAAACAAAAATCCTATTTTCAGATCTCTGAATTATAACTAGCAAAACCCATTTGTATATGTGAATAGAACCACTCATATAGGTACTTTGTTTTAAACATTAGTTTGAACACCTATGTCAAACAAATCTCACTCATTTCATATTAATATTCTAGCTAACAATTATGTCCAGGTGCCCGGAAAAAATTGCTTGTCTTCTCTCTTTTCAGCATAGAATTAGTAAAGTTCTTGAATGGATTCTACTGTAAGCAGAGCAGAGATATGTAAAACCAAACTGTCCAGAGCTTCAGGATTTATGCTAGTTGTGTGGAAACACTTTGACTTTGGTCTCAGATGCAGGAGCATATACCCTACTCATGAAGAATCAGCTGAGAATTGGTGACTGAATCATTGTTGGTTGATGAGAGATCAGATTAGAAATCCCTCTTTAAAAGGGCCAGCAGTGGCCTCAGCCTGACGCTATAAAGACTTACATGAGGGATTCCATACTCTGGGACACTGCCTCTTCACCTACTGTTGTTGTGGCTTTTTCAATGATGGGACAGGTCATAGGGCTATATCCATTGTTTGGAACAAGTTTACTTACATGAGTGAGTTTAGATATTGATAGTCTCAGTTTATGAAAGGCTGTGGTTGTAATGAGAACTGAGTTTAATTCCATGATAGGCTTCTAGAATGGAGGAACGCTACAGCTGCTCTAGAAATATTAGTGTGTTTGTAATATTACAATATACCAAACAGCAATTGTAAGTTACAATATCAGGATAATTAGCTATCCAGTAGCATGCGGTATTTGTTTCTGTGAAGGACCACAACATATATGGAACTGGCTCCTGAAAGCTGAGTATCTCTCTGCTCTTGTGTTCTACACCTCCTCTCCCATCTCTTGATAAACCTGTAAAACTTTGTCAGAAATGTATTCATCTCTGTTTATGAAAATGAAGCTCTCCAGGATTATTTTTTAAGGTGCTGACCATGTGCTCAGCACTATACAAATATAAAATACAGTCACTGGGTCTGTTAGGTAAGTCCCCTACAGGTGGGAAGTTTCATGCATGCATTTGGCATCCATCAAGAGTCAGTGGGAGACATGCACAGCTGAAAGCAGAATTTGGTGCTAGGCTTCCAAATCTGAATATTGATTGCCTAGTAGCATGAAAATGGGTTTCTTCTTACTCTTATTGTGATTGCACCAGAGAATGGAGTTGCAGATCTGGCATTTCTGTCACTATCTAAAGTAAGTTATGTAAGTTACAGACAAAGTATTTTTTTTTCTGTCACCAGTTTGTTTTGACAGTTACATGATTTATATATGTTTCACATCTAATTTATGATCTGAATTGAACTACTTACAAGCCCTGTGACTAGAACCTGAACTGTACATAAGGGTGCACCTCCTTATAGTAATAGAAATAATCTTTCAGAACCATGCAGATGGAAATTAAAATACATTGGCACTCCTGTGTACTCAGTATGTCTATTGAAAATTTAAAAAAATACAAAATAACTGGCCACTAAATGAAACCGCTTTGTATTATGGTAGGGATATGGCAACTCTTGGAGAATATTTGATATAGATTTGTTTTTGTTCAGGATAGCTGACATTGGGAGGCATTGTGCTCTGCCAGTGGAAAGATTGAGGTGCAAGGCGCACCTTCATCAACCCATTCAGCGGTATTGCTGGCTCAAAATGGATTTGCCTCCAGTCACCTTTGATCAGGATGGTGGCATGGAGTAGGAAGTGGTGAAATTCTCTGGGTGGTGGTGGGCGCACTGCGAGAATCCCTTGTGAGGAAGAAATCAGGAATTAAATGTCCTCCAAATGTTCTGTTACTTATTTCACGTGTAAACAGTGATACCTATCACTTAACATGCTAAATAGTATTAGAAAGAGAGAGTTGTGTATTTAGACCCAATGCAGTCATAAAAAGTGGGAAAATCAAAATACTAGCAGAATATATCAAAAACTTACCTAGTAGCTACATGTAGCCATGGCCTGGTGTACTCCTCAACAGTGGGACCAAATGACACACCTGTATTAGTCTATTTTATCACCATGGAAATACCCTTCATTCCCAATCCCCTCTGCCCCACACAAGCACTTCTCTGGCTCATAGTGGAAATACTCATTTAACTTGAAATTTGTTGATTATTTTTGAGAATGAGGGTTATTGTTTTTTTTCTTTCTTTTTTTTTTTTTTGCTATGCTACCCCAGTAGCTCCATTCCCCTTGCATCAGCTCCTGCAATATTGTCTAGGCAGCCCAGTTCAGAATCTCCTCCCCCTGGCAGGGAGGAACTTGTAGCTGGCTTCAGCACTTCATCTTCCCAGGCCTTAACTGCTGTGCTGTTGGAGAGCAGGGGGCAAATGCAGGGAGACAGAAAACAAAATGTCAAGTGATTGATAGTGGCAAAATTCCATAGCCGTGGAAATGCAGAGTTCATGGAGCTTTTCTTGAGATAAGTAGGGTAAGCCACACCTCACAGCTATTGTTTCGAGTGCCCTGCAGACTCACTGTGTGTTGACTCACGTTTGGCACCCATCTTTTGGGGTTTTCTCCGCAACTGTAAGGGCAAGAAACACAATGTAAAAATTTTTTAAAATTAAAGGTGAGATCCTGGAGCCCAAGTCTGTGGCAAGCGGTGAGTTCCATGGCTGTGGAATTATTGAACATATGGGGACTTGCATATACCATCTGTATTTCTCCAATTTATAGCCCCTACTGCCAGTACTGTTTTTGATGCAGTGAAATAGTCGCGCTATTTTGTAATTTGGCTGGCTGTTTTCTTTTGGGGGCAGAATTGCTCATAGGGAATTAGCAGCAGGTACTTTTCTGGTGCTTTTTTTATTTATTTATTTATTTATTTATTAAGTGTGCAAGTTAAAACTACTGCACAAGTAAAATTTCATTTAGAAATGGTTTTTGTTTACTCTTCAGTTTTCCTTACACTTAGATTCAGTCTGTCTGACACATAACCTCTTCCTTTAGTAGATATAGAAACCTTTTCTGTCACACTTTTCTTTTTCTTCATATTATCTTTTCTTTCAAACTTATAACATATATATGCATAATAGATATTGATTTGATTTATTTTATTTTCTCCTTTATGGAATCATGGGTAGTTTCATTGCAACTCATCTCTTTCTGTTTGTTTCATATAGGGCTGGTAGTGCAGGATCATTCAGACCCCCTGTTCAGTTCATATGCCTATAAGTCCCACTACCTACTGAATGAATCAAATCGTGCTGAGTTGATGAAATTACCTATGATTCCTCCTCCTTCGTCAGCTTCCAAAAAGAAATGTGAGAAAGGTAACCAAATAGTTTCTTTCTCTTCAGTTTACTTTCGCTTTTCCTGTTTTTTCTTTTCTTTTTTAAATCAAACTAAAAAATGTTTGCTTGTTGAGCACCACCTGTTGCTTTTAGTAAATTTCACTCATTGATTATTGTGAGTGTGTGTTCATGTTGTTGGCAAAATATTTATTACAATAAAAGGGCTTAAAATAATTAATATCAATAAATTCTCCCTCTCCACAAAAGGTTAAATCATGTATCTGCCACTAGGTAGTCTCCATAAAATTGGAATAATCTACATAATAATAACACTAAGGGGGGGAGGTGAATAAAGTTTAGTATTGTTGTAGTTCAGTGCCAGCTCAATGACTATTAAAACTTCTTAAATTGCTTATCTGAGGAAGTCTATTTTGGAGCCTGCTTAGAGCCTGCAACAGTCAGAATAGAGAATTTATCCGTTTGAATGTTTGTTGGTATATTGGCATTCCAGAGGAAGACCAAAGACTTAGGAAGGCAGATGGCTTTTTGCCTGTGCGTTTTTGTTACAATCCAGAGGCCTTGTATTTCATTTCTGTTAGTGCAGGCCAACTGATGCTCCTTTCTCTCCTCATGTGACTGACTGCTCACTTCCTGGAACAATGCTTCTTATTGGAGTGGCAGAAGGTGCTGCATCTCGAGCAAACAGGGATTCTGCCCTGTCAAGAAAGGCAGGCAGGTGGGCAGTTACAGTAGTATTAGGACAGAAGCTTTTTCAGGCATAAAAATTGATTGCTTTACGCTGGTAATGCTATTGCTTTAAAAGGAATTTATGGAAACAGATCCAGCTGTATATGTCTGTAAGATTCAGAGGTCATACTCTCTCCCCACAAAAATTTGATTTCCCAAAGGGTGTTCAGAAATTGTTCCCAGTCAGTCATTTTAAAATTAGATCATTGCTAGATGTAGATAGCTTTTACTTTGTGTAACCTCTGACCACAAAAATTATTTTGAGCCCTCTGTATGCTTAGCTTGAGCAATATCTTACTAATGCATCCTAAGAGCAAAGTTTTCTTGCTTAGCTCTGAGAGTTTTGTTTTTGATTTTTGTTTGGTTTTCGCATCTCTTGGCATTTTACCGTGTTGGATATTGTTTCAGTAATTTATGCTGGGTCTGTATTTCCTCTGAAACAACACTTACAAAAATTCATTAAAAAATGAACACTTGATCATCGGGCGGGAGCTCAGGAAAGTCCAAATGCTTGGATTTTATTACATTTTTAGCAGAGGAAATATAGTAAGTGATTTTGTCACTGATTGTTTAAGGAATGCTTTTTGCAATATATTACAATCAAATCAATGACCGTTTTGAAAGTCTATAGGTGGACAAGATTTTCTGATGAATATTTGAAAGTAAAAATTCAAACTTCAGATATTATGATGATTGCTTAAAATGCTGTTTTAAATCTCTCCCAGTCTTTTTACCCTGGGACTAAAAAGTTCATTACATTTCTATCTAGATTGTAGCAAATGTGTTTATTGTATGAGCTTCTTTGTGTATTGCCAATGGTTTAGATGTGCCGTGAGTGCCCACAATAAACACATCTGCTAGAAAACAAGCCAACCAAAAAAGAACCTTTTTTGTCTAAATTTTTTTTAAAAGTAATGTTTACCACATTCTTAGATCAGATTCCCTTTGTGTTCAAAGGGAACTCTGGGGGAGGAGGAAATCTTTCTGTAATATCTCATTCTGCATTATATAATTAAATTTATAGTGCTCACACTGGTAAACCTTCATTTTGAAGAGTATGCACAGATTTATAATTACAATTCTAATGTTTTTTTCTCTTGTATCTTTGAAAGCAGAAAAACATTGATCAACCTATAGGCTGATTTTTATGCACACTAACTGATTGCTAAGGGATTTAGTCATGACAATGTTGGTTTAAAAAGTATTTTAAAAAAGTGCAAAATTTGTCTAATTGTCAAGAAAAGGTGTTGGCCACTGCCAGACTGTCTGGATTAAAAAAAAAAAAAATGCCATACAGTTATCAAGACTGTTTCTCTTAGGGGGGATCTGATGTAATGCCAACTTGCCCGATTTAACCTAAATTTTTTAAATTTATTGGCTTTCTTTTCCAATTTGTGATGCAGTCAGGAATTATGATTTCACATAAAGAGAAGAGACATATATAATACAAAAAATACTTACTTTTAATCCAGCATTGTAACTTTGACTTGATCACTTCCTTTTGCCATATATTTGGTGTGAGGCAAATCCAAGTTTAATGCATTTAATTAAATAATATTAAAAAAAAACAAAAAACCTCTCACAAGCCTCAAACCCTTATTTCTGTAAAATGAGTGAGTTTTTGTTTCAAGGTGGGAAGTTATTGTGCTGCGAGTCCTGTCCAGCGTCCTTCCACCCTGAATGTCTCAACATAGAGATGCCAGAAGGATGTTGGAATTGCAATGACTGTAAAGCTGGCAAGAAACTACGTTACAAGCAGATCGTTTGGGTCAAGCTTGGAAATTACAGGCAAGTTCACTGACTACAACTGGAAACTATTTTAAGTTTTTGTTTTAGGTTAAGTTTTTACTATATCCTGTAGCTATGCAGGTAAACAACCAGAGCAGCCCATGGTGTCAGATGTTGTATAGCTTTTTAATTAAATTCTACTCATGCATTTTTAGGCATTAAGGTGAATACTTACTCACGTTCTATCTGTGGGTTCCCTAAATGTGCCCTGCAGATGGGGAAGATCAGGAAATACCTAGGGCATCAAAACTCCCTAGTTTGCTTTTATGTTTAGAGATCATTCATAAAAGGCCTCTGCAGGAATGCAGATGGTTGTTGATCCTCTCTCTTGCAAGTCCCCACCTGTGCCTCCGAATAAATGTGATCAATAAAATGCTGCAAGTATAACAGATGGTGGTGGAGGTGATAAAAAGTCCTCTATTTCCCAAGACCAGGAAGGCTGGGAGGTTGCCAGGGGTTTTCATCTCAGATACACTTTTTGCTGCCTCTGTGGCTTTCTGCCTCTTATGTAGATCTGGCTATAGAACACCTCCAAAAAACAAGTACATCAGACAGCCCGTGGCACTGCAGTTTCAAGTTGTCCATGGAGGACTTTTTTAAAATCCCATTTTTTATTGTAAGGGACAATCTTGCTTTTAATTTTTATTTCCAGACTTTCACTGTTACAAATCAGTTAAATGTGTCCAGGACTAACTACAGTATTGTACAGTCAATTAAAGGCCTGTCTCTTGTTACAGTTGCTCAGAGCATAGGGCTATCTTTCCAATAATAGTTGAATTTACAAACCTCCTTCCCTATCTGAGATCTTGTAGACATAGTGTCATATTCACCATTTGAATCTTCAGATCTCCAGTTCTGGCTCTTCCTAGAATCAACCCAAAAGGGGTCCAAGTTCCTCAGAAGTTGTAAATGTTGGAATATATGCTTCAGGTTGCTGACATACACATTAAATATCTGTGTATATAATTTATTTTTAAACAATGTGTGGAGTCTTATCTTTCCTAGTTACCTTTAAGTTCAACACATTAGTATTTTAGCCTAGGTTGGCTACACATGTTCAGCAGGATAAACTTAAAACTAGAAATGCATCCATGTCATTGGTTATTTAAATATGATCTTGTGATTAAACCTTGGCTTCAGTGGACAAATGGAGCATAAGAAAATGAGACTAAAAGTAGGTGGTCCCCCCCTCCCCCCCGTGTTTATATTCTCTTCCAGGTTGAATTGCTATGTGAAAATATTCAGAGTTGGTCCCACTATTGGCCCATAGCTTCATCTTTGGTTCTAACTCCATTTACTTGAAATTGTCAAATGACACTACAAATGGTATTAGTTAATTGTCACCTAGGCAGTTCAGTGAACATAGCCAGAGACAATTATGCTTTTATTCGGTTCATGGTGTATATACAAAATGTTGGGGTCTAAATTAGCTGTTACCTCTCCAGAAAGAGATCTTGGAGTCACTATGGATAGTTCTCTGAAAACATCTGCTCAATGTGCAGCAGCAGTCAAAAAGCTAACAATGTTAGGAACCATTAGGGCAGAGGTAGATACCACTATATCAGTCCATGGTATGCCTACATGTTGAATGCAGTGTGTAGCTTGGGTCACTCCATCTCAGAAAATATTTATTAGAATTGAAAAAAGTACAGAGAAGGACAACAAAAATAATTAGGGGTATGGAACAGATTCCGTATGAGGAGAGAGTAAGAAGACCAGGACTGTTCAGCTTAGAAAAGAGATGACTAAGGAGGGATATGATAGAGGTTGATAAAATCATGATTGGTCTGAAGAATGAGAATAAGGAAGTATTATTTACCCCGTCGTGTAACACAAGAGCAAGGGGTCACCCAACAAAATTAATAGGCAGCAAGTTAAAAAACAGACATAAAGAAATACTTCTTCACCCAATGCACCGTCAACCTGTGGAACTCATTGCCAGGGGATGTTGTGAAGGCCAAAAATATAACTGGGTTAAAAAAAGAATTAGAGAAGTTCATGAAGGATAGGTCCATTAATAGCTATTATCCAAGGTGGTCAGGGATGCAACCCCCTGCTCTGGGTGTCCCTAAACCTCTGACTGCCAGAAGCTGGGAGTGGATGACGGGATGGGTCACTCGATACTTGCCCTGTTCTGCACATTCTTTCTGAAGTATCTGGCACCAGCCATCGTCAGAAGACAGGACACTGGGCTAGATGGACCACTGGTCTGACCCAGTATGGCCGTTCTTATGTTATGTACTGGAGTTTTCATGTTTGTCTAATTTTGAGTCTGTGAAAGGGAATGCCTGATATTTAAACGGAATTTTAAAAATCCAAATTACTCTTTCATCACTAGTGCTGTTTATTGCTTTCACTTGGGCAGTGAAATGATGCTGGCCAGTTTACTTTCTGGTTCTTATGCATTAGCAGAATGCTGCTGTTTGGATTTCCAGTACCGCAAGAGGATTAACTCTCTTCCCCCCACCCCTTTTTAAAAAAAAAGTTTCCATGGGGAAAAATTAAGTGACAATGTTTTTTCTTCTCATACCAGGATTTGTAAAACCTCATTTAAAAAAAAGAAAACTTTAAACGTCTTTCATTAAACTGTGGATCTAAACAAGTTGAATATCTGGCAAACATTTAAATTTTGGTTTGATTGTAACTGTTCAAATTATATTTTTAAAATAGCCTTATCAATGATTTGTTTTTCAGTAAAAATATTGTAAAGTACAGCTGAACAGTTGTGTTAAAGATTCTCTCTTCAGATAGCTAGTCCCAAAATTCATATACTACACAAGGCCCAAAGCCATACCCCGGATTTGGGAGCATGAGAACTGTAAAGATGGATATCTTTTTGTGGAGCTCCCCAAGTAAAATCAAAGGCAGTTTTGCTTGTGTAAGGAGAATGGGATAGGACCCACTGCAGTCACATTTCTTAGGAACTAAATGTAGCTTCTACTACTTGAACTGGAATTCCCAGACTGAGAAGCCAAGCAATTTGCCTTTGTTTCATAGAGTTTGAGTTTTTACTCTTTTCTAATTTTCAGGTGGTGGCCAGCTGAGATCTGCAATCCCAGGTCTGTGCCTCTCAACATACAGGGCCTCAAACATGATATCGGGGACTTCCCAGTATTTTTCTTTGGTTCACATGACTACTATTGGGTACACCAGGGCAGAGTTTTCCCTTATGTTGAAGGAGATAAAAGCTTTGCTGAGGGGCAAACTAGTATTAACAAGACCTTCAAGAAAGGTAAAATTAAACAAAGTTTATAGTGGTTTATAACAAAACTTCCATATGTTTGTTTCTACATCGTCACTTAACTTGCATGGGAATTATGTGGCTAGTTTTCTGTGTCTGTGTTAAGCTGCAAACTCTGTATAGTGCCATTGGATAGAGGTTAAAATATTATTAGCATCTAACTTCCTCCCTCTCTGTGCTGTTTGTAGGCAACCCCAATTCTTCCCCACTTAACTTAGAAAGAAGTTATGAGGTGGAACCTGGGCTCTGATGCAGGTGGCCACCCCATAGTGTTTAAATATCTACTGAAAACTACTTGGTTTAAAACTCATTCATGCCATAGTGTAACATTTCATTGTTAGCTTGTTCTTTGTAGATTTCTAATTCCTAGCTTTTCAAAAATGTCTCTCAGCAGCAGCAGCCAATACTAATTCCTCCCCATTTTGGACTCCCTTGCACAGCACTTGAAGAAGCTGCAAAACGCTTCCAGGAACTGAAAGCACAAAGAGAAAGCAAAGAAGCACTAGAGATTGAAAGGAATTCAAGAAAACCCCCACCTTACAAACATATTAAAGTGAGTCCTCTCCTTTGTGTGAATGAGCTATAAATTTAAACAGGGAAGCAAATTGTGGCTTAGAAGAAAATTCAGATAATCAGTCTACCATTCTTCAAAGATCTCTTCTGGCCTGTCTCATTTAGTACCATAGGTCCTTTCATTGTTATAAGGAAGGTGTACGCATCAGTAAAAGGGACTTTGAGTTTAAGGTCAGTTTTACTGAAGACAAAGGACTTTGATAATTGCAAGTGGGTCCCACCCATCTCAAATGAATCTTGGGGCTTACTTACCATTAAGAAATTATATTAGCATTGAAAAATAATAAACTATTAGTGTGAGAACTTAATCTCCAAATCTGGATACTAAAAAGATGGTCTAGATTTTTTTTGCCAGCAACCTTGGGGGCACAGTACTCCATAGTACTTAACTATTTCATTGTACTTTATAATAGTTTAAATTCTTGGGACTTCAGCACATTTTTGTATGCCTCAAAAGAGTTGTCATACTAATACACGTACTATACAGTCTGAAACAGTCCTGTCCCATGTTCTGTGCTACATACCTCATTGCTGGTTTCTCTGAACACCTCAGATGCTTGATTGTTAGTGGTGGAGCAGTGCCAGATGCAACCTCTGAAAGTCCTAGATTGCAGAGAAGTATTTTTGCCTTGTTGCCTTTTCTTAGTTGACACACTTCCTTTTAGAGAGGAATAGAAAAAATACAACTGCCTCTGATGTTAGTAGCTGTGTGTGTAATAGCTGTTATTTTTGCCTACATTTTGAAATACCTTGACTGTCATGGGCCTTGATTTAAGTGGTTCTGATCTAAATTCTGTGTGTATGGCCCTAAATCCAAATTTATCCCTTGTCTCTTTTTTTTTTTTTTTGTTCCACAGTCCAACAAGGTAATAGGGAAAGTTCAGATTCAAGTTGCTGATTTGTCAGAAATCCCTCGCTGTAATTGCAAGCCATCTGATGAGAACCCCTGTGGCCTAGAGTCAGAGTGTCTGAACAGGATGCTACAGTATGAGTGTCATCCCCAAGTGTGCCCAGCAGGAGAGCGCTGTCAAAACCAGTGCTTCACCAAAAGACTCTATCCAGATGCTGAAATCATAAAAACCGATCGACGTGGCTGGGGTCTCAGGACAAAAAGGAACGTTAAAAAGGTAGAATTTAGGACAAATACTGAGCTAGCCATTAAAGAGAGTATTTGAGGAGAGTGCTGCTACTCTTTTATTGTTTGTACCTTGAACAAAAAATGTATCAAAAAGTTAATACTTTCAAGTGAATTCATCCTACACACAATTGTTTCTTTAAATTTACAAGGCATGAAACTTCCTCAAATGGAAGAAATGATAATAAATCCAACTTCATGGAATATGAGACATCTGGCAGAGGTGTGTTTTTGCAGTTACAATGCTTTCTTATAGAGTAAGAGTCAGATTCAACTGATTATAAATTTCATTGGTGATAGGCAGGAGATGAGGACTATCAGTACTTCTTCTAGAAGGTAGTGATGTACCTAAGTTCTCATATTGACTTCTGAGCATGGAGGGAGAGGGAAAAAATAGTTTTTTAGATGGCTTCAGATGCTCTTTTGACCAAGCCTGGCTTTTGAAGATGCTAAAGTCTTAGAGGGATGGGAATAAAAAATAAAACACACCTCCATTATTTTCTCTTTCCCTCAACCCCAGAGTTAACACAGCAAATGAAATTAATCACACTTCATGATATGAAATAACTCAAAGGATGGGAGATGGGGCAACCTAAGGTGGTGAGCCTCTTTCCGAGGGGTTACGTCAAGGTAGCTTTCTGTACTTTCTTTTGCCTTTTCTTTTAAGCTCTTACATGGTAAAATGATCACTCTGCAGTTCCCAATAGCAGATTGTCTGGATTGGGCGTGGGAGGGGATGCAACATTGCTCTTACAAACGTCTGGTCACCAGGGAGCTGACATAGCCTCCTTGACACTCAACTCTACAGACTGGATTTATTTCAGAAGAACTCGGAGGGGATTAATAAAAGGCTTGTGGTGATCAGGCTACATTGGACAACACGCTTAAGTTCTTGTTTAAAGTTCAAGAAGGCAGAGAAGAATAATGAAGATACAGAGATTTCTATTGATGGACATGGTGCAGTTGTTATAACTGAAAGCACCAAGAACTGATTAGCTTCAGGAAATATTGAGGATTAACATAAATGTTAGAATGATTGGAGTCCTTAGAGGAGTGGTAGCAGGTGGGGTAGCAGTGATGGATGGGGTGGGGGATTAAAGTACCTTTCCTGACTGTGTGATAAAGATACTGGAAATGGATCATTTTGGTTTTCCTTTACACTGTATCGCTGCACACTGTATTCCTGGGGACACCAGTCTGGGATTATCCACTGGGATTCAGGTGGGATGTGCAACAGTTGATATGGAAAAACAAAATCTTACACTGGATTGCAGTCTTGCTCTACTTCGAGGCAAGCATGAGGATGATGGGCCTGGATTTCACGGCTGCTTTAACTTGCCAGGCAGAGGATTGGATTTGATGGACAGATGTATGTTTTGCTCTTACTCATGCAGGCTTCGTTGTTTCTGAACAAGGAGGAGGCTGAGCACACCTGAAGAATGGAAGATCCAGCTATGACTGCAGATGGAATGGACAATTAAGACTTCAGGACAAGTTGTTGTTTTTATCATTTGACCTGCATCCTCAGAGTTCACTCCAGAGCACTATTTTGCTTTCAATTGGCTTCATATTTTCTTCACTTTGAATTTGCACACATCTTGCTAAAGAAGGTATCCTGGAACTTCATAGCGAAGGCACATTCCACGGTTCTGGTGGACTTAAACTCGATGTAAGGTCTTCACTGCGATTCTCTGTTAAATGAAGCTGACTGCTGTCCAGACTGAGGATTCTGATGTGACGTTTTGGATTGTAGCTGGACGTGATTTGTGCGCTGTTGGATGATGATGTGTTTTGCTCCAAAATGTAATCTAAACAGTTAGACAAAAGCAAAGAGATTCTGAATTGTTTTTCATCCTTAAGTTATATGCTGCTTAAATATTACACGTAGATAGTAGAGGATTATCTACTAGTCTGAAGTGACCCTGCAGTACCCAGGCAAATGGGCTTGGGCAAAGGCATAGTAGCAACTTTTAACTGTGAATTCTTTGCTTTTGTCAGTTCTAATTAGGGTCTCTACCTTGTATTTGTTTAGTAACTTAGTTTACTGTACATAGAAATATGGCATAGAGAAATGTTGTGCGGGGCCTAAATGGATATGTCAAGTATTCACTTACCTGTGGCAATATCAGAAGTGTGTGAACAAACCAGTTTCAAATCTGTGTTTCTAACCACTGCTTCAGCTGAAACTATAAACCTTTGATTGGACTTGGGACAGTTCTACTCATGGGTACTTAAATAACTTACTAACAAGTAACTAGAGGAAACCAGAGTAAATTGACAGAGAATACATTTTAACTCTCTTCAGTTTCTTTCTGCACCAAGTACACCTCTACCCCGATATAACACTGTCCTCAGGAGCCAAAAAATCTTACCGCGTTATAAGTGAAACCGCGTTATATCGAACTTGCTTTGATCCACCGGAGTGCGCAGCTCTCCCCCCCCCCCTTTCCCCCCCTCCGAGCGCTGCTTTACCACGTTATATCCAAATCCGTGTTATATCGGGTCACGTTATATCAGGGTAGAGATGTACATGGTAAATGTTCATAGCATTTTTATGGTGGATTTTCTGTGAAGTTTCTTCACATACTAAGTATGAAACAATGTATTTGTGTCCTGTAGGAGCTCTACTAAAAATTCTGTCAGTGGCTTCATTAGAAAAACCCTTCTAGGCACTTGATTAAACCATCTGTTCCAAAACACACAGGCTAAACTAAAAGGACTTTGGTGGGGAAAAGAGAGAGAGGCACTTTTGAAAATTTCATCCCAGAGATGACAGGTTTGTCCAAGTAACTTAGGAGCCTGTGTCCATTGGAATCTAAATCCCATTTCCAGGAATGACTTAAGTGCTTTTGAAAATGTTATCCTGATGATCTCCTCCTGCAGTACAGCCTTTTCCCCTTCAAAGCTCCAAAATGTGACAGACATGATTCTGGTCTCTCTGGAGCCATTCCCACAACCAGCTACCAGAGCAATTAGCGCTCATAGACTTTTGTCAGACTGTTGACACCACAAAGTCTGTAACATGTTGGTACTATTTTATTTAAAAAAACAAAACAAAAAAACCTTGAAACTGCTCAGACACTTGTTTGACACTTAAATTTGAGCATCTCAAAGAGCTACTTTTGGAAATGTTTAAGCATTAGAACTGTTGAGACTGTTACAGTAAAATGACCCTCAATGTGCTAAGTGTTCACTCCCTTGTATCAAGGTATCATCATTTCCTGGCCATTTCAAAGTCCATCATGTGAAAGCTGGGAATACACAGTCAGCCTGAAGGCTCACTTTTAACTTGTTTTTAGTGGTTTAATTATTTAAGCCAGATTTGTAATATCTGTTCTACATTAAAACGTTATCACAAACTTTTCTTGTTTGTTATTGACTCTTAAAAGTCCCGTTAAAATGAATTGTTGAAATGCTATGCAGTGAAAATGTTTAGCAGTACAGTAAGTTGTGTTGTCATATCAGGTTGATATTCTGTGGGCATCTGTATGTTAGCCTGGAATTAAAAAAAAAAAAAAAAAAAAAAAAAGAAAGCATGTGACTTAAAATACTGCCAGTGAACCTCTAAATAATGTAGAATCTTGTAGCTGTGCTAGGGTGACCAGACAGCAAATGTGAAAAATCGGGACGGGGGTGGGGGATAACAGGTGCCTATATAAGCTAAAGCCCCAAATATTGGGACTGTCCCTATAAAATCGGGACATCTGATCACCCTAAGCTGTGCTGCTATGACTAGGACCAGTGCATGGAGAAGCAGTCTTAATTCTGGCTTTGCTATTGCCTTATACTTAATGGTACAGAATGCCTAAGTGGTGTTTTCTCATGGGTGTTTGAATATATTGTTATAAATATGTGCTCATTTTCTATAGACTGACCATACAGATCTTTTTTTAAAAAGGACAGAAGTACAAGCAGAGCCTTGAACAGGCTATATGCAATTGACCAAGAAAGATACAACTCATTAATCAAATGTGTCCTTCAGAACGGCATAACTGTTTTTAATTGCTGCTTTATTAAAAGTTCTAGTTGTGATGCTTCCATTTTGAAGCACAGTTCTGTAACTTAATCTAAACTTGTGTGCATATGTATTTTTCTATACTGATCACTGTTGTGTAGTACTTTTATTTTAACCAGTTCTCAGTACTTTAAGTAGGGTGGCTCTTTAGGATAATTAGACCTTGTAATGGACAAAATTGATCTCTAAGGGCTTTCCATCCCATTTTTCTATGCTTCCTCCCTCTTTAACTATACAGATAGCAGGCAATAAGCATGGGTTTCTTTGGTTGACTTTGCAGGGTGAATTTGTAAATGAATATGTTGGTGAATTAATTGATGAAGAAGAATGCCGATTGCGGATCAAACGTGCCCATGAGAACAGCATAACCAATTTTTATATGTTAACTGTTACAAAGGTAAAGCACCATATCTCTACAATATAAAATATACTGCTGCTTAAGGGACTAGGCCTTAAGGTCTGGGATCGCAGGATCAGGATCCATGTTTAAAGCACAAGAATTACATTTTCTTTCACTTCTAGCTAAAATGTAATGCATTTAGTGCAGGTGAAAGGTCCCAGAGAGTGAAGTCCTCTTTTCATACAGCGGGTACTTCATGGACCATTGTGCTTCAGCCTTGACTTAGTGGGGCTTCTGTGGGGAGTGGGAAAATGAATTCCCATGGTCTGTTCAGTCCATAGTGTTTCTGCTGATACTGCCAACAAGACTGTCAGTCGGAGTGGAATGTGGGCACCTATCTGATAGAATTGCATTGCAATTCCAACATATTTCTGATCAGTCACCAAACAGTTGTATTTGGAGGGTAATTCATTTAGGTCTCTATTGACCAAGATTGGGGTTGAACCAGAGATGGAAGGATCCAGAGCTTATTAACAGTACCATAAGCCATTCATTTCTCCCTGCATAAGCGCTGAGGAGCTTTAGGTAAAAGTTACTTCCAGGAAAAGCCAATATCCATTATAACTCATTTATCAAGTACATGTCTAAATATATTATCTGCAGTTGTCGTTACTTGACTTGTCAAAGGAAGACTTTTGTTTGTCTGATCCTAAATCTGTGTTTTTTGTCTCTTTATTGAAGGACCGGATAATAGATGCTGGTCCAAAGGGGAATTATTCTCGTTTTATGAACCACAGTTGTAATCCAAACTGTGAAACACAGAAATGGACAGTGAACGGGGATGTTAGAGTTGGACTCTTTGCTCTCTCTGATATTCCTGCAGGTAAAAAGAAGCCTCCATCCTGCATGTGCCCTCCTCTCCTAAAATGGAAATCAGTTGCCAGCTCACCCACTTTTTCCCTTCTGAAGTTACTTGGTCACATTGGCATTTACAATTACTAACTTACCCATTGGGACAAAGAAAATGCACGATCAAGAAGTTCTAGCTCTTCATATGCATAGTCTCATTAGGAGCAACTTACGATGAAATGCAGAATATTAAAGATGAAACTTGCTTTATCACAAACACACAAGAAATATCAAGGGCTTCACCTAACACTTGAAAACACAGGGAAATTCAATGTTAACTCTTTTTCCATGTCTGCATAGACCTTTTCAGCTAGCATAGACCCCCAATTTCAGATCTGTTCCCTAATATCAGATCTGGAGCCGCCTCCAGATGCTAAACATTTTGTAACCAATCTACCACTTTAAGCTGAGATTAAAATGATAGACTAGCCAATGTTTCTGTATGATCTGTAGAAAAACAACGTGTAGTGCTCCTGTGTGGTCCAAAGCTATGCTGGCACTGTATAAACAAAGCAGAGGAAGGACGCTTTGTTCCTTTTCAGAAAAACTAAAAAGAACAGTAAATCAGTGTTTATCCAAATGGGAAAATGGACACAATCAGTATAGGGGAAAAAACTATTTGAGGCTTCTATTTGAGTATATTTCACCTAGAAAAGAGTGTTTTAAAAAGAAATTATTTCAATGCTAGGTTTGTAACCAGGCTCATAAGACTTATAGTTCCACAACCACAAAATTATTGGTTGTTGAATCGTCATTTGGTTTTTAGAACAGAAAAAAACTGAGTTGTCGTCCTCAGAACATGGATTCTGGATCATTTGTTCTGCCTTGCTATTTACAACTTCTCTCGCTATTGCCTCATGAGTATGTTTTATCTCAGTATTTTTGATGTAGTTATAAATATTGTGATCTTGTAACTATGCCCTTTTAAAAACAGTGGTGTTAATATGAAGGGAGAAAATGCTAAAGCTGAATTGCTGTCTTGTGTGTGAATAGTTTTTCTTTAAATTTCAGGGATGGAGTTAACATTTAATTATAATTTGGACTGTCTGGGCAATGGTAGGACTGAATGCCATTGTGGAGCAGAAAACTGCAGTGGCTTCCTAGGAGTACGGCCGAAGGTTAGTTGTACAGAAATAAAAATTGAGCTCAATGCACTTGTATTGAAAGCTCTTTGTGAGGGAGGAGAGTGAATAGAGGTCTGTTTCATTTAATGTAATATATCAGTTTAGTACCTTGAAGGTTCCCCCAAAGGCTTTACAAGTTTGTACTTCTGTAAACGTACCCATCTCTAGGATGGAAGAGAGCAACCAGCCAGTATGCTGTCAGACGTGGCATGGAACAGTCCCATCATGTTTTGGGTGCCTGACTTTAAAAAAAAAAAAAAAAAAAATCTTCTTGTCACATGTTTTACTTCTGTGTTTGCCCTTCCTATATGGAAAGCATTGTGAAATTCCCCTGCTTGTTTGAGGATCTGGAAACTTGTCTTGCAGATGTGCTTCATTCTGGTCCCAGCCCAGAGTGCTGACCTTAGTCAGCTTCTTATGAAGTAGCATCTCTGTAGGGGCAGAGAAGTGACTGAAGTCTCTGCTCACATAGCTATTATGCATAAGCTCTCTGAGGAATACAAATCCTACTGCAGTAGGGACCAATCCTTCTTGGGCCTTTGGATATTACCATCATATTACAGCTCACTAATAGTAATCTGGCAACATTCTAACTTGTTTCAAACGTATGTGGCAGGGGAGATGGAGATGGGAGTCACTAGAATAGACTTTGTTGAGCATGATTTGTAGAAATAATTACCCACAGTTGACTTTTGGGGTGCCATGTGGCTTTTTAAAGTGACTATTATTGACTAAAATTGTTACTGCTGTGACTTTTAATGGCCAGACGGCATTTGCAACAGCGAATGAAGAGAAGGCAAAGAATGCCAAGCTAAAGCAGAAGAAACGGAAAATAAAAACAGAGCAGAAGCAGATGCATGAGGACAACTGTTTCCAGTGTGGAGATGGAGGAGAACTAGTCATGTGTGACAAAAAGGACTGCCCCAAAGCATACCACCTCCTATGCCTTAACCTGACTCAACCACCATTTGGTAAGTGCTTTCCCATGGCCACCA